CAAAAATGATAAAATACACAAATATATGTATCTCAAACATATAGACTGTTCCAGAAAGTATAAGCACACCTTATTTTAACGGTCACTTTGAATATAATAAAATATTTCAACATGTTTTGGCTGCGTCCTTTTGTTTGCTCATTTCTGAATGACTTAGCATCAAAAAAGTGCTTAGTTTTGTGTTTCCTGTCAAAATGCATGGTTTTACTCCGGAACAACGAAAAAGTATCGTGCACAAATGGTGCACTGTGAGCGGACTCTCCTTGAGAAAATTGGCCAAGGAAGAGGGTGTAAGCGTCGGAGCGGTACGAACTGCGATTAAAAAATATAGAGAACAGTGTACGTTTGAAGATGCGCCGAAGAGTGGCCGGAAATCCGGTCCTGTAAGTCCGGATATCGATAAAAAGATCAGGGATGCCTACAAACGAAAACCTGCGACTTCCGTTCGGGATGTTGCGAAAAAACTAGGGACCTCGTCGAGTAACGTCATGCGTGCCAAAGAAAGACTTGGGCTAAAAACATACTTGAAGCAGCAAAAACCCAAAGGGAACCCAAAACAGGCCGCATCCGTGAAACCACGGGCCCGCAAAATCTACGATTCGTTATTGTGTCGAAATTCTGGGTGTATAATAATGGACGACGAAACGTACGTGAAACTAGATTACAAAACGCTTCCCGGACCACAAATCTATACTGTCAGCGAAGGAAAGGACATCCCCGAAACGGAGAAGGCCGAAAAATTCGGTAAAAAGGTTATGGTTTGGCAGGCAATATGCGAGTGTGGTAAAACATCTAGTCCGTACATCACAACGGAGACGATGGACACTCAGAAATACGTTAAGGAATGTCTCCAGAAGCGATTGTTGCCGATGATCAGGCAGCACGAAGGTCAAGTAGTATTTTGGCCTGATTTGGCATCATGTCATTACGCAAAGGACACTTTAGAATGGTACAAAAGTCAAAATGTATGTTTCGTGCCGAAAGACATGAATCCGCCGAACTGCCCGGAGGCACGGCCAATCGAGACTTTTTGGGCTTTAACCAAAGCAAAGCTTCGAAAAATCAAAATCCAAAAATTCAAAAAAGATTGGCCAAAAGTGGTCAAAATGGTGGGAGTACCACTGTGCAGAAGCTAATGGGTCATGTTCGAGGAAAATTTTTGACATTTGACATTTTCACCAAGGGCATGAGTACTTAAGGGGGTTAGGTTTTGATAAGTTCTTTAAGGGAAATGACACTGATGAAGACTGCACATTGTAGTCGAAATACGTATCTGTCATGGATACCAATATTAATTAAGTGGGTATTCAATGGAAGATAACCTTTTTTGCTGTTCAATATTTCTTAAAGAAAAGTATACATAGCACTTGTAAAACCAACGTTTGATGTTAGACCCGGAGGGCAGAGTGTCTTATACCAATCGACTAAGCTCGACGAGTGTGCACGTGTTAGTACGAGTGGTTCCGAAAAATCGAGTCTACGGAATTGCAAAGAAAAAAATCTGGCATCTCTGGTCCATTAATTAAAAAAAATGCGACACCTTTAGCAAGCACCGATATTTTCAACTATGTCCAGAGAGCTTCTAAGCAATTTAGAAATTTTTATATTGTTTCGTTATATTCAGTGAAGTTCTGAGTACTTCGAGGACGATCAGATAACATCACAAAAATCGCATTAACTTATGGAAATTTGCAGCGACTTACAAACAGTTCCTTGGAATTATGGGATATTCCGAGAAATCTATGAATGATCTGAAAACTTTAGAAGATTCAAAGAATTATAAATATATATCAGACACCGGAACATTTAATCAATTTAGAGAAATGAAGGCAAGCATAAAACACTTCAGGGCTGGACTTTCCAGGGAAAGTCAGTGATTTAAGGCAAAATTCCGTGAGCGTTTATAAACGTTATAAAACTTAAGGAAAATTGTAGGACTTAAAGGCAATTCATTCAATTCCAGTACACAAAAATACTAATACTAATACTAATACTAATAAAAAAATACAGTCTAAATAGTTTTAAGAAAATTGAGCAATTGGGCAGTTTTAGGAAACTCTAGACTATTGAAGAAGCTATGAATTAGTTTCTAAAATTGACAAATCTTGATAATCTCTGTGAAAATCATAGAACTACATTAATTATTCCGTTGAGGCAGCTCAAATAAGTTCCTGGAATTTCAGAATAACTTCGAAAACTTCACATAAGTACAGAGATCTTCAGAAACATTTCGAGAACTTCATAAAAGTCTTAACGGAAAATCCGAGAACTTCAGGAAACTTATATGGACATTTCGGGAGCATTTCAAATAAGTTTAGTAAAGCTTCAAAAACAAGGGGAATTAAAGGGGGGTTCAGTCCCATTAGTTTCACTGAATTAGTGGAAAATTTCAAGATGTTCCCAAATTTTCTGAGAACTTTAGAGATGTTAAGAAAATTATTGAGGTTTTCACATACCGTATGCGTGATAATGTTTGCACCATCGTACAAATAAGGTTTCACCTGTGCATACCTGTGCATACAATGCCTTGGTTTTCTTTGCATGCACGTAACCCATAGCTCATACCGTAGTAGGCTGTGTATAAAAGAAAATGATTTACTTAGTTTGACAGTTGCACCATGACGAAGTGGCAGCGCATTCGTGATTTTTCCCACACGCAAATGTCGCAAAAAGACGCTTCAATCGCCGTGGGAGTGCCCCGGTGGACCGTCAAAAAGGTTTTATACCGACAAAAGAAAGGACAACTATCTGCGAAGGTGGCCACAGGTCGTCCGAGGTCAGCTCGGGTTCCGAGGGTATCGCTGCTATCAAAAGGAAGATTCGGGTGAATCCAGTGCGTTCTATAAGGAAAATGGCAAAGGACACGGGATCAGTGACTTTTTGGCACGGAAGATCGTAAAGGAAGATTGCGGGGCGAAGTCGAGGGCACGGAAAAAAAAACTCACATGATTACCAACCGCATCCGGGAGCTACGAGTCGAACGATGCAAGAAAATCTTGAACTTCCTTAAGCGAAAAAATCCGGCTATCCTGTTCACCGACGATAGCATGTTTACCGTCGATCCCTTATCAAATTTCAGAACCGACCGGTATATTAGTTCTCTTCCGGTAAAAGACGTGGCCGACGAGCACAAGAACGTGTATCTGACCAAGCATCCTGCTAGCGTTGTGGTGTTTGGATTGGTGGCTTCCGATGGCAAAAAAATGGACCCGGTGTTTATTCCAGAAGGCGACAAGGTCAGCACGGAGGTCTACATCGGGATTTTAAGCAAGTATGTTCTTCCGTGGATCAAAGAACAGTACGGTCCCAAGCCAAATGTTGTATTTCAACAAGCTGGGGCTCCGTGCCACACCTCGAACCACACCCAGAAGTGGTTGCAGGAACATCTTCCGTTCTGGGCGAAGGATATGTGGCCGCCATCCAGCCCCGATATTAATCCGCTGGATTACGCAATATGGCGCGTCATGAAGGCCAAGGCCTGTTCTAAACGCCACCCGAGTACAGCAAGCCTCAGACAAACATTGACCCGTACCTGGAGGAACTCTTTAAGAGAAGTTTCGAGAACTTCAAGAAAGATATTGTCCACGCTAAAAAGCTAAAAAAAAACAACAGATATCCTCAGAGCAGAGATATTCCAGAGCAGTATTGCTAGTTTTTAAAACTACAAAAGAACATCCAGGCAGTTTCATTAACTTCAGGAGTATTTTGGAAACTTTCAGGTTGTTCTGAAGACCTCAGAATAGTCCATTACATATTCAACGGAGATTTCTCATGAAAATTCGCTTCGAGTTCTCCTCATCATTGGCTCGTATTCTTCCGAAACTCTCATGGAATTATTTCAGAAATTCACTTGGAACGCTTCTCTGAATTCTCTAAAAAATATCACAATAATATAGTTAGAATACTTCTCGCAACTATCCTTCGAATTCAATTTTCTTTTAATTTTCCTAGGAATTGCCTTGAAATTCTCCTCATCCATCTTATGGAAAGATTCTCAGAATTTTCATTGAATTCATTTCAGATTTCCCTTTTAATCTCACTCCTTCCCTTGGAATTCTACTCACATTGAAAGCCTCCTCAGAATCCATTTTCATTTCTCCTCACAAATTTCTTAGATTTCTCCCCTTAATTTGTTTGGCAATCTTTCCTGGAATTATTTTCCGAATTTCTTTGAAGATCTCCTGGAGTTATTCTCAGATTTAATTGTAATACTCCTTTTAGCATCCCCTTCACCTTCTAAGTATTCACCAAAAAACTACGAGGACTTATGCTCTGATTTCAAATGTGTGAATGAAAATAACTGGGAAGATTGAATGTTTTTATTTTAAAATGCCCACCCCGTTGGCGTGTTCAGTGATCGAAAATGCTTTAACGATTTGACCAACCAAATCACTGCAAGATATGATAAGATAAGATAAGATAAGATTCCCTGAGACTTCCAGGTATTTTAAGGAAAAATGAAATTCCTTGAGAATTCCCGGTTTTTCAGGGTTTTTTTTTCAAGTAGTAGACTCTTGGAGGTTTAGTCATAAGCTTTCTATTGAATCCTTCGCTTTAAAGGTCCCTATCGTACATATTTAAGTGTTTATGAGATTATAATTAAATAAGTCTAAAACATCAAACATTGATTGCTACCAGCCCTGATATTGGCATTTCGAACGAAAGAATGCAGAACCATCATATGGGCAGTAGACAAATCAAAATAACAAACATGCCTTACATCGATTTGTAGGATTCTGGAAATGTAATTTTCTAATTAATAACCACCTCACAGTTCCCCCTCCTAACCACGCCCACGTTAGCGCGGTACGTACCACTTTATCTACGACAATAATCTACATTGAGTACAGTGCTGTAACGCGGATAAAACGCTTATGTTGAGCAATAAAATTTTGATGTCAAAATAAATGCCACTATCAATGCGTAAAACATTGCGCCATACAAAGCGCAGTCCTTATCTCATTTCTAACGTTTTATTTTTTTTCAACTTCTTCTCCCAGATAACGCCAGTCCACCCCTTTTCCCGTAGTCCAGAACGGTAGTAGCGTAGCGCGGTGACGCACGACCCCGAGGCCCCGAGGAATGACAATCGCAATGGCCGGTCTAACGACGTCGGAGATCTGCGAAAACACCAAGCTGGCCCGCGAGATGGCCGTTATGGGCAACTACGATTCGGCCGGCATCTACTACGAAGGGGTTCTGCAAATGCTGCGGAGACTGCTCACCGGAATCTCCGAACCGATCCGGAAGGGCAAGTGGACTATGGTGGGTTCCATTGATGCGCCGATTGCGCCGACGACACTCCTGCTAATCGTCTCTTGTTTTTTTTTTTGTTCCTCCCGTAGATCCAACAGGAAATCAGCAAAGAGTACACTCAAATGAAACTGATCCAGAAGACTCTAACGGAAATTACGATGGACCTGCAGAACGCGCCACTCCAGGCTCGTATACGAACTCCGCTGCACGAAACGGCCAACAAGGATCCGGCCGCCTGGTTCCGTGCCGATCCGGACGTTTGGATGCCACCGAACCCGAACCGGGATCCGGACGTTTGGGGTCCTCCGCCGGACCTCAGTGCACCCCGCACAATAGCATCCCGCAATCAAAGCCGGTCTAGTACGACTTTGAACCGCAAGGCAGAGGTCAACAGGAAGAATGCAGTTACGAAATCGGCCACATCGACCTCAATTTCCGGCCGGAAGACAGTTAGTTCGAACTCGCGGGCGAGCAACGGGAAAACTGGGACCTTGCCAAGGAACAAAGCAAAAGCCAATTCCCTTGATAATGGGAGCGAAGGAAGCAAAGGGGAGAAAAGTGACAAGGAAAAGAACGAAGAGGATGATCAGGAAAACCAGGAAGAACCGGAGCGCAAGTTTGAACCGGCAAGTCATTCCGACGTGGATCTAGTCGATATGCTGGAGAGAGATATTCTACAAAAGAACCCGAACATTCACTGGGACGATATTGCCGATCTTCACGAGGCGAAACGGCTGCTGGAGGAAGCGGTGGTGCTTCCCATGTGGATGCCGGACTATTTCAAGGGAATCCGAAGACCTTGGAAGGGAGTACTCATGGTAGGCCCACCCGGAACCGGTAAAACCATGCTGGCCAAAGCGGTAGCAACCGAATGCGGCACGACGTTCTTCAACGTGTCCTCGTCGACTCTGACCTCCAAGTATCGTGGCGAGTCGGAGAAACTAGTTAGGTTACTTTTTGAAATGGCACGCTTCTACGCTCCTAGCACCATATTTATCGATGAGATTGATTCGCTTTGCTCAAGACGAGGGTCCGAGACGGAACACGAGGCCTCTCGTCGGGTCAAATCGGAACTGCTAGTACAAATGGACGGAGTCAGCAACGACGAGGCCACTAAAATTGTCATGGTCCTAGCAGCGACCAACTTCCCTTGGGACATAGATGAAGCCCTCCGGAGACGGCTCGAGAAACGTATCTATATCCCACTGCCGAACAGGGAAGGTCGTGAGGCTCTGCTCAAAATCAATCTGCGCGAGGTGAAGGTAGGCGAATCCGTAGATTTGAACAAGATCGCTACCCAACTGGATGGCTATTCCGGTGCGGACATCACCAATGTCTGCCGGGATGCCAGCATGATGTCCATGCGGAGGAAAATCGCTGGACTCAAGCCGGAACAGATCCGCCAGCTGGGCAAGGAGGAACTGGACCTTCCGGTGTCGAATCAAGACTTTAGCGAGGCGATTGCCAAGTGCAACAAATCCGTCTCGAAAGACGATCTCATCAAGTATCAGCAGTGGATGAGGGAATTCGGTTCGTCGTGATCTAAGCGTCCGCCACCGACGACGACGACGTCCCGACGAGAGAATCGTGCAATAATCGCTTGTGTTGTCCACCCCGCCATCAAAACTCGATTTGTTTTAACCGTTTATTTTGTGCGTTTTACGTAAATCGTGTCTTTTAAGAACGAATATTTTTATTTATTATTTTGTGAATGATTTTGTCTATTGGCCACGACTTCAGTTTAAAACAATGATGAGTGTATAATTTCGTCTTGATTCGTTCCGACTTTTCAGTTAATTGCATGTCTCATTAGTTTAGTTTTTAATGATCAAAATTCATAATTTCATCTTGTATCTGTCTTTATCATTTTGAGATGGCACTAACACACACACACACTCACCGTAACAATCTTTGCACCCAATCAACCACCCTCCAAGAAGTTGTGATGGAAGAAAAGGGAATAGGTAAAAAGCTTTTGTTGCTACTATTTTCATACTTTGCTGATCGTTGTGAAGAAGAGAAGAACGGGAGAAACAACTGTAGGCTAAACAATCTTAATTCTTCTGAAAAATATATCACTAGAAACACTAAACATACATATTTGATAAGATTAATTTTATTAATAAATTTTTAAATAAAAAAATAAGTGCCCGTTTCAGTTTTAAGCCGAAATGACCAAAATGATGTTGCTGTAATGGTTTCTAGTAATCGAGCTCGCTTTAGAGATAGCAATTCAACCGGGATCTTAACCCTCCAGCACCCATAAGTGAACCGTTAAAGCAAACTCATTTATATTTATAATAGGTTATTAGTATAAATAAAAGGTTCTTCTTTTTCTATTAATCATTTTTATGTTTGTATGGTTCGTGCGAAAACAAGAATAGAGTAAAATGGGGCAATATGGAAAATGAGGCAATGTGGCCACCCGCTTAAAAACCAACTTATTGCATGATAGCATTTTTCGGGACCTAACACTACTGCGACCAGTAAATTGATCTATTGTAGTATATCCCGTGTCCTTAGTTTAGTGCATGTCGTATTACTCCATCACTGTTGAGAAATGATGAAGTATTCGATTTTTTTTACAGTTGTCATTTTTGCATTTATCGTAAGGATCCGACTCTAATTGAAAGGTCCCGCTATTTATACCCTTCGGAGTAAATTTAATCTTTATATTATACTATCAAAGTTAACCGCATTATCAAAGATACCCCGTTTTACGGTACTTCTCAAACTGAAGCGATACATTTCTCAATGTTTCAACTTCTAACGTAAACTTAATTATCCTCAAATTTTGAAAAAATAATATGCAAAATTTTCACCTCCAATTATGATAAGGGGGGACCATATGCCCGAACACACCGGAAACCCATCCTCACACAAAATCAAATAAAAATTTCTATGTATGGTAAACACGTCCGGACATTAACGAGAATATGGGTATACATCCACCGACAAACCGACATGACACTTAATTCTGACTTGTGCCCGAAAATCGTAAACGGCCGATTTAAATGTGCAGTGGTCCAAACTGTCAAAACCAACCATACGATTTTTTGATCTAGATCAAAATAATTTGTCCAGAATAGATCAGACACGAACCAATTCATACTTATGCATGTGGGTTAATGGCTTAGCTAAATATTTCCCGCGAACACGGAGCCAGATGTCAGTAGTGTGCTTTGGTCAGAAAATTTGTTGTTTTTGCTATGGTCATTCATGCCGGATTGTCGGTGTTGAAACCACCGACAAACCGACATGAAACTTAAACTTAACTCTTGATCGAGAATCCATAACGGCCGATTCAAATGTGCAGCGATCCCATCTATCAAAACCATAGAAATGTTTTATCTAGATAAAAATAATTTGTCTGAAATAGATTAGACACGAACCAACTCATAAATTTTGTACGCGTGTTCGTGGCTAGGATAAACATTTACCACGAACACGGCGGCAGATATCAGTTTTGTGCTTTGAGCAGAAATTCCTTTGTAATTTGTATGATCATTCATGATTGTCGGTGTTGAAACTATCGATTTGGTTAAACATCATTCGGATTTTCCACTGAATTTTGTATGATTCACACAAAAAATAATCATTGATAAAATTAAAAATAACATTGGTTCTTTTTGGTAGAAAGCGGATAGCTTTCAAATCGAAAGTCTGCCAACTGTCAATTCAAAAGTTGCGCGCGCCCTACTTTTAAAAGCTGAAACTTTCAAAATAAATTGTAGAACAGTCAGAGGAAAAACGGGGCAGTGTTGAAATTGAAAGCGGATTATTTTAAATTCAAAATTAATATTTTCAAAACAACATCGTAGTTTTATTTTAAATTCTAAGAAAATATTAAATTTAAAGTTTCTATTTTAAATGAAAAGGTTCAAAAATATGTTTAATATTATTATTATATTTTTTACTATAATGATTAAACTGAAAATGAAAATAAGCAGTCAAGTTGCGCGCAGTTCACCAGTTCAACTTTGCAACTGAATAATCTTGGAGTTTAGTTCGAAGTTGACCTCTTCCGCCCGGAGGTAATATTCGCTTGGCAAAAGCGTGTGGAACAATGGTGCCGTCTTCTCCTGTGACCAGATTCTTGCGGTAGTTCTCTGCTCCAAACAGGGGAAGCAACACCCCAAGAAATCGACTTCCAGGGACATCATTCACGGATAATCTCGCAGTTTCCGAGGACAAATCGTTCATTCCTAATCGGAGCTCACTTTTCTCGTGTACCATTCTACAGCGGAATTTTCCTTTATCGTTTCCTCGACGTGAAAGGTTGAAGCATTTTGTGTGACAATTCTACCGAAATTTCCTTGTTTTCCGTGGTTACCATCACCCTACTTCCGTAATTTTTGTATATTGCACAGCATAATCGTAGTCGATGAAGTGGTAAGTACATAACATCAGCGATTCCGGCAGGGGATCATCTTCGATGTGAATGCCAGAGTATCACCCATAAGCACCTGTCCGCTGGTGTGTATGATCTACAGGAATGAAATGAAAGTTAGTTATGATATTTATTGTCGGAGTGAGATAAGAAAGCACATACCAATGTAAAGATTAGCGCCAATTTTTTTTTTTAACAGAACGGTGCGCTCTTGCATTGAAGAATTCATAGCGTTGCTGTTTTTTTTTACCAGCAAGGCTAAGGTGATAGCTATGGTATCCTGTGAGTAATGACGACCGCTCAAACGGGTAATTGAAAATGGATTTGTATAGAAGCATTCCTTGCCGGTCAGTGGACGGCCCCCACTTACCTATCTGTGACTGTATTTATCTTTGTGAGGATGGTGAGTTATTTACGGGCGTGGGAATATCATCTCTTCCTCCGGAAGTTTGCTCCTGCATTCAGCGCAAATTGCCGGTAATCGAAGCCACTGGAATGATGGACGAGTGTTATAGCTTATCTTCTTCATTTGTTATTTTCAATACTTACATCGAATTCCCAATCATCTGGACACAAAGATTTTCCACTGCTATTGAGATTATTCAACTTGATTTATTTTATCGAAAAAAGCGGCAAAAGAGGGTTCCGTGCTGCCAGTAAAAACATCCGTATTTTAACAGTTGTACAACTTTTCATTTAAAAGAAACACTTTTAAATTTACGAATCGAAAGTGAAAGAAACACTTTCAATTAAAAAAAAATAATTTAATTTTGAATGTCTTCGTAGTTGAAACTATGAGTTTTGGGAAACTTTTAATTTAAAAATGCTTTATTTTTATTAATACTATTTTAGTTTAGTGATGATTTCCTTAAGGTGGCCAAACTGCCCCACTTTCTCCTATGGGTGAATATCATTATAACTTTGTTAATAACTAGACGATGATTCTGGCATTTGTCGACACTCTTTATTTTTCTGATCCACAACAAATGTAAAATGACAATTTGATAGCAATATTTGTGTCAACAAACGACTAATTTTGATCAGAAAAAAATCCACTGCTGTAACTATTTTAGTACACTCCGAGGGGGACGACTCTATCTACGATACAGGAAATATTGTGTTTTGCTGTGGCTAGCTGCGCGTACGCTGAGTAGATAGAAAGAAGATTGATGACGATTCTGAAGATTTCCTGCAAAAAATTGATGCGCGATGCAAGTAGATGCGACAAATGAAAGAAGATTGTTCGAAGATTGATTCGCTAGTGTGAGATTTGTTGACCATCTAAACTTGAGATTTAGATGTGTCACCCCCCTCGGTACACTCAAGTATTTTTTACACGGTATTTTACGACGATTTTTTAAATAACGCGCTTATAGCAACAATCAATACGAAACTAACGATTTTAAATTGGCTAACTACTTGACTAGCTTATTGGTCCCAAGCAAACGATTAACGTACCCCATTCTAGTCGAAATTCTAGTACTACACAATGTTTGTTTTGATTCGCTATGAAAGTTTGACGAGAAACAATGAAGAAAGAGCTGTCGCACGGCATGTTTTGAGTCATTAAATGATCTGCCCGCATTCAGAACCCTCCACCAGAACCGATTCCAGGGAATCGGCCATATCTCGGCTTTAGAAATAGTTCTTCTTTCGTTGTATCAACTAAAAATATATATATTTAACCAGCATCATAAATAAAATTTCACCAAAAATTTAGCAAGTTAGACAAGCCCTCCGGAAACCCGGAATATCTCCGGTATCCGGTGACCAGGATTATTTTCGTGGCCACACCGTAGAACAATATTAGTTGCTGTAGAACAATATGCTCTTGGAAGATTTAAAATCGGATCATGTTTGACGAAGTTACAACACTCCAAAGTTGACCAAAAATTTGCCTATCCTAGTTATTTTGAGTAGCCCCTGTAAATATAATCAAATTTACTACCATTCTGTCAAAACTACTATGCTTACTCAAACGGCATAGTAGTTTTGATAGAAAAAATAGTAAAATTAAATGAATTTCGTTTCTGCAAAAATCTATTGGTGGGAGTATTTAATTTAAATCATCAATATAGTATTTTAGCCAATGGATTTTGTTTCTGTGTGCTTACCAAGGGTGGTAAATACATATTCATAATCTGCATTAAAAATGGAAATGAAATCCAAAATTTTATCAATTTTGGTGCGCTCTGAAACTATTTTAAATAAGTGCGATTAAGGCTGTGTTCCATTTGGTCAATTTTTACTTAAATTTGACAGATGAAAATTTTTCAAATAAGCCTGCTTTTCCAGCAGACTTATTTCTGACAGACAAGGAATGAATTTTGACAGACGCTTTCTCGGAAATCAGCCGATCAACAACAGAGGGATTTTCGAACATCTTAATTTATTTTCGATGTGTCAAATCTAAGTGAAAATTGTCCAAATGGAACACAGCCTAAATTAGCAAAAACCATCAGCATAGCGCCACGCAGAGGGACTTTGTATGAGAGCGAGCTGTCAATTAATAGATTTAATGCCAATCAAAATTTAAATCTTTATTGAAAAATCGATATGAACGTCTATGGGCTCGATGCCAATATCATTGTGCTCATTAAGCGCGAAGTTCTTTATGATAGGGGAAATGGCTCTAATGTTGGAATATGGATCTAAGATTGGGCCCATCGCTAAAAATCTGCTATTTATCAACTTTATCTAGATCAACGCGTTACTGGGACGTTACTAATGGATATTTTTGGTTGCTATTGACAATTTAGTCGATTGATAAATTTATGTATGGGCCCAAATTAGGGACACTTAGGCCGACATTACATACATTTCCCCTATATAGGTATACTAATGGAAAATCAATATATTGTATGAGTTAATGATAATAATGGATAGTATGCAGAGTATTTATGACTGTTTATTTACATGTTATTTTTTTTTTACTGTTATAATATTATGGTTTAATTAAGCATAATAAATTTATAAACTGCCAATTCAAATTATATTTGCCACCAAAACCACTGGGCCTCGGAGGCAGAATACCTGCCGACGGTTCCCAGTGGTTTTCGTAAATCTCCCCCATCATATTTTTCGCCCGCGTCGGCGCCGGGGCGAATTTCGCACTGCGAAGCCATCTTGAAATCGATAATCGCCGATGTTGTGTGTTCGAAAATGCGACCTCAATCTCGAAAATACCTCCGCGTTCACGCACACACCGGACGCTAGCCGCGTGTACGGACGGGTACCGCACTGTGAATGTGTGCGTCGCCGCCACCGTACATCATCAACACACCAGCCCGACGTTGCTGGTGTTGGTTTGTAGTCGCCAAAAAATAAAGAGATCGCGCTCGTCGTCGTCGTTTGCCGTCGCCGTCCGTGTCGTCGTCGTCGTCGTGTTTGATGAACGCGCACTGAGCAAAGGGGCAACATTCGCAGTTTTTGGTGGCTCCCAGTGATCGAAAAAGTGGTGAAAATTAGTGAAAAACTGTCGCCAAGTGGTGCAAAATTACGGCCGGAAGCCGCGGGAAGCAGCTGGTGCCAAGTGTGACCGCAGAAAAGGTGCGTTTCCGATCGGGGGAAGATTCTTTCGGGCTGCTGCTGCCGCAGTGCTAGCCTTTCTCCGCTGCCTTTTGGCTGGTTATTTTTTTTTTCCTATCCGTGCGCTTACTAGAGTGTGTGTGTGCGTGGGGTTTCGTCCGACGGACGGACGGAACAAGACAAGAAGTAGCTAGAAGCGAACAAGCGATTCCGATCGCAAAGTGAACGGCTAGGGTACGGACGGACGGACAGGGAGAGAGGAATAAAATTGTCCGCCTGCCATGGCTGCTCCGTAGAAGCTGGCGCTGGCTGGTCCTGCCTTGATGCTGGTGCTGGATTGTTGTCCGGTGGGAATTTTTTTTTTCCGGTGCAAGGTGTGGTGTGGGGTTTTTTTTGTCGGAAAGGAACAGTTGTAGGACGAGAGACCACCGAAGAATTCGGAATACCACCATCCGGCTGACGGGAAGAGAATTGCTAATCAGCCAGGAGACCGGTAAGCGATGATGATCTTTTTGTTTGTTGCGGAGTGTGGGTGGTGCAAGAGGCGAGGAACAGGAGGAAGAGATGGAAGATGCAACATTAGCAATTATCTCGAAGAGAGGTGAAGGAACCGGCTATGACTACTGATTTCATGATGGAACCATCTATGGCATGTAATATGATAAGCATTGCAATGTTATGGAGTAGTGTCAACAAAGAGACTCGATGGTTTATTATCGGTTAGAATGAACAACTGTTTTACTATTTACAATTACTCAATTATTGATAGCTTAAAAATTAAACTAGATAACGGCCTTACTGCCTTTGTAAACAATAACTTCTCTCGATGATTTCTAGGAATTCAAGACACGCCCACGCAAACCAACATTACTATCGGGTAGGGGAAGTCGTCTTATACCTACTATTTGAGATTATTTATTCTGCAAATTGTAAGGTCTAATTAATTGCCTTTCTGTCTGTTTTTTTTTTTCGATGCGTTTTTGCTCGGTTTAATGGAAATCTTTCATGCAATACCTAAGGGCCTAAATGCCCCTAATTTCTGCCCATACGTAAATTCAGCAATCGACTAAATTTTCAAAAGCGACCAAAAATATCCAGTAGTACCGTCCCAATGACGCGTTCATCTAGATAAAATTGATAAAGCAGATGTTTAGCCATTAGAGCCATTTCCCCTATTTCCGTAAATATTTGAAAATACGTTTAATCTACGAGTGCTGGTCTCGTTGGTACTGGGATCTACTGAAAGCCTAATTAGGATTTTTTTTTATAAAGATACATCCTAAGAAATCATCGAAGGCAAGTTCTAGAAACTATAAAAGGCAAATTGTGAGACCTGTCAGAGTCAACTTTTAGGAACATGCGACTAGCATGTTCAGAAATCATTCGAAGGTTAGTTTGTGAGCTTTTGGAGACGTTTTCTGGGATCTGCGGAAGACAATATTAACGATATTTAAAAAGGCAAATTCTAGGAACTTTCGGAACCAACATAATTCAAACATTTTCCAGGAACTTTCGATGATATCAAGCTGAATAAAGCATTAGGTCGTAAGTAAAATTGATCGATAATCTGCATCGACTTTTGTTAATAACTTGGGTACCGAACCGTTTCTTGTCGTATTAGAGGCTAGATAATAGCTTCTTTTATAGATCTATGTGCTGAAAATAGCTGGGAATGTCTTAAATGCCCGTAAGGCTGCGAATAAAAAAAAATCGTGAATGCGTGAGAAAGGCGAATAAGAAAATCTGTAAATGTTGCTTAGGACCTAATGCATTGTTCAGCTTGAATATGTTCAGAGATTTTGAGAGTTGCTGGAGAGATGTACTAGGACCGCCCGAAGGCAAGGCGTCGGTTAATTATACGAATAGTCCTATAAACTCCTATAATAACACACGTTTTGGGAATTTCTAGTAAGGTCGGATTGGAATCGAAAGCATTCGCTTGGGAGTCAGAGTGAATGGTACCGGTAGAATAGCTATAAAAACCAATGGTTTCGACTCCTAATGCATCGTCCATGCTTCCGGCTCAAATTCGCAGCCCTGCTGAAAAAACCCCAAAACGTACCTTCTAGAATTTTTAGGACTAGTACCTATTATAAATATCCTAAATATCGTGCCAGCTTCATATTTGACGCGTTCCTAATGATGACGCATTCGTCTTTTTTTTTAGTGCATCTCGATTTCGACAAGATAACTGTTACACCATCATCCCTAGAGCACTGGAACTAATATTTGCAGAAGTAACATTACAAAACTAATGATTGAAAATAGTCGAACATTATTGAGTTCGTCGATTTAGGAACCGCTTCGAAGATGGTGCCTCCACGATATTGTAAATAGCACTCGAAGGCAAGAAGACGAAGAAAATTGGAAAGTAGTAAGTTCCTGCGGACATTTTTAGGAGCTTCCGAGGAAGACATGGTCGGGAATCTTCCAAAGGCATGATTCTTGGATCATTCGAAAGCATGTGTTAATTTCCCTAAATTCATAATGCTTGAAAACTTGCTCAAGTCCAAAAAGTTTTAAAATTAACGCAATCTAAAATTCATTAATAAATAACCTTGTTCAAAGTAGCTGAAAATATCAACAAGCTCAAAGTTCTTGGAAATCTCACTAAATTCAGGCTTATAATTCAAAATGTTGATAACCAAATTCCCATCCTGGGCAGCTGCTTGCTTCATTTACCCACCTAATCTTAACAGGTAAAGGTATTGCCGAAGCCGTCGTTAACCCTATTGAGGGTAAGATTCCTTTGAAATTACTATAAATATTTCCATAGAGCATTCCTCAGAATTCGCTATGATTAGCATTCAAGAGATTTTCAACCGTAGGTGATCATCATGGGTAGTATTGGGATGTTGCCCTATCATCATTAAGTTTGTCGTAGAGTTGATTCACTTTGAATTCTTCTTAACATTCGCTTGGAATGCTCCGTGAAACTCCGTCATATTTGCTTAAGATTTCCAATTTCTACTCATTATCTCCATAACGGTCTTAAGAATGGCCTTAGAACACACCATTTAGATCTCCTTTCAAAAAATCCTTGAGATGCTTTTCAATATTAGTCAAATTTCTTTGGAATTCTTCTTAGAGAAAATATTTTAGAATTATTCCTTGAATCTACAATCAACCGATGGCTTTAGGACTCTCTTTCTAATTTGATAGTATTCCATATAATGACTACCAAATTCGAGAGAGATCCGTCCTACAGCCATTGGTTATTCCCTCTTCTACAATTCTCTTAGTTTACAGTGGCTTAGTCTCAAATTCTTGAAAATTTTCTGAGATCCGTGTTATTTCGTTATTGGTTATGTTATTCCGTAGCAAACATTGCACATTGAGGTCAGGAATGAAATTTAGCAGGAAAACCAATAATAATGCTCTGGGATTGCATCCAATTCAGTTGCCGTCTTCAGAAAAGATTATTGCCTTAGTTAGGACTACCAGTTGGTGGATAACAATAGTTCTAGTTTTGGTCGCAAAGGTGGCGCAGCGATACAATCTTTTTTTATTACGCAATCTAGAGGTTTGCTGCCTTCGTAGTATGAAATGTCGTGGGAAAATAGTGATAGTGAGCAGAAGGTCGGGAGTTCCATCCCAGGCCCATCCCCTTTCCTTGCAATTTTTTATTATGCCTTATTCTATCCCCACTGGTTTCAAAATAAAAACAGTTTGAGGCATTCACTAATCGCATCACTTCCCACAGTAAATCCTGATCTTTGTAGTAAATCCTGATACTTTGAAGATTTAAATCTTCAAAGCTCCATCTATGTGGTTCTGTGTGCAATTTCACTCGTTCTGATCAGTAACGGAGTAGCAACTACGACGTGCAAGGCTTAAAACACCTATCGCAGACATCAGAATTCAGTTCCTAGCACTCATTGGCGTGTCTCATGGGAGAGCCTAAATCTCTTTGAATTATCGAAAAAATTCTGAAAGAATTACTTATCAAATGCACAGGCTAATAGGCCTCACGATCTGCACTGCCACGTAGCGGTTCTCTATGAGGTTCTTTGCACAACCTTTATGAAGTTATTCTAAGAATTAGTTAGGAATTAATTTCAGCACTTCCTTTCTTCTTCCCAGAAATTCTTTTAATTTTCAACTCTGAATTCGTCAGCACATTCTCTGAATTATCTTGGAATCCTGGTCAGATTTCCCTTAGAATGTTTACCAGAATTTGTAATTCAATAGGTATTTTCCTCAGAATTTCTTTATAAATTGTTGGATATCTGAACATTTTTCCCAGCTGCAGAGCCTTTAAAATTTCCCGGACCAAAATAATGACTTTTTTTTTTAAATCTGGGTTTTGTAAATTTTCAAAAAATGTTTCTTTGAATATTTTTCTCAATCCCATATTTCAGAGTTTTGGATATGTATGTTAACCAAGGGGCAAGTCGCCCAGCACATTTTGCCGAAATTAGATTCGGCACAGCTTGGGAACATCCATCGGCACAATCTCGTAGGCATTTGATTGTTGTAAATAAATTGGGAGCACTGCTGGCCAACTGTCATTGAGGTTGTTCACAACATTACGTGCTGTTTGATTGTATATTCAGGAACATCCTCTAATTGAATATACCAGAGAAACTCAGACCAGCAGTTCACTTATAGATCTAAATACGAAATGTAGGCACTCAAACACACGTTCGCTCAGTTAGGATGAGTAGAATCTTGACTACAGCAAGAATCCGTGAAGACATACGAGGAGGAGCTTGAATCGCAAGCTATAACAAAACAAACAACAGCGGTCATATTCATCATCCTCTATAGTCTCCAACAATTTTCCCCACCGGTTCCAACTCTTTCCGGCCGCTGGTAAACCGTTGCTAAGAAGGTTTCTGGTCTGCCTTTGAGTGCATTATAAAACCCTAAAACACAGAACTTTTGCTATCCTATGAACACAAAACATCAACATTTCGCACACCCGCCACTTCCCGCGTCATCCCCAATACGATTTATCCTTGCGCTTTCAAACCAAAACATTCAAGGTGAAATACCGGGTTGTTGGGAAGTGTATTTTACAAACAATCGCAGCTTGCTCTATGACCGGCACACTGATAAAAAGGATGACCCAAGATTGGTGTGCGGAGTTGACCTACCCCTTGATGTTAACCAATTTTTCAACATTTCTGCTAGTAATATAGACTTAGTTATGAGTGTTGAAACAAACTATTCGCATTAGAATTATCCAGGAATTCACCTTAAAGTCCTCTTCACAAATCCCTTAGGATATTAGGAATTTTATAGGACTTATTCTCAGAATAATTTTGGGATTTTGATTTTAATCAAAACTCCGTTGAATTGATTCCCAAGATTTTCTCTGAACTCGTTTTAAATAATTCAAAATTACTAAACAAAATAATAATTGAATCCTAAACATTTTTTTCCAGGGATCATGATATTTTTTTTTTCAAATCTGGGATCTTGGAAACTTTTCGAAATCTCACATTTCCAACCACAAATCTCGAAAAATAAACGGCATTCTTAGATTGT